TTCGGCTTTGCCCCGGGATGTTGTGGGGGGGGGGGGTGTGTAGAATCAGCAGTGAAGACGCTGCAGGTCAATGGTTGCTATCAAAAACAGACAGATCATAATGCGTGCACCACCACCACTCCTCCTCCTCCTCTCCTGGCTTGCTAGTCATTCAAATTTCGCTTAAGTATATTCCTTGCCCAATTATGCGTTTCCAAAAAGTTTGGATTTCAGGCTGGTGCAAGGTAATTTCCAACCTCTATCCAGACAATGAACTGTCAAAGTACAAAGCAACTTAAATTGTCTACATGCAATGTAATAGCCTCTCCTCAGGCTTTAAACAAAACACAATATGGAGAAGTGTGGCACAACCATAAGAACTTATTGTTATATATCAACGCAATGAAAAAAACTGTCTCATCAGTTTTGATAGGAGCTCTGATATCACTGCCATATCACACTTTGAAATCCAGACAGCGTAAGTTAGATTCATAGAGCAGATACGCATGAAAGGTTGAGAGAGGAATTTTAATTCACAGTTGATGAAAATTCTTTCTGATAAGCCCAGAAGGTATGGGCAGGAGACAAAAGGTTCCACTAGAGATCTTACAGCTGCAGTCATGTTTTAATTCTCCTCATCTTGCTTCTTCCTGTCTTGTTATCTGACAATATGGCAATATCTTTGAAGCCCAGCTGCATCACATTCACCCTTTTTCTAGTTGGATGGGGCTAGTACTTTGAACTGTATTTCATCTCTCCTTTGTGAATCACTGATCTGATCAGGTCTCCCAGGTAACAAAAGCACATGAGTTATCCCTGGCTCATCCAAGCCAGGCTGCATTCTAATGTATTTTGCAGTTTCATTAACAAAAACAACTTTGTTTGCAGCATGAGTAGCAAAACACTTGAAAGAAACACACTATCAGCAGCAGGTGTGCTTGTCACTATCACATTCACACAGATCAGCAGCTAAGCTTCCAGTTTGGTGTACAGACTCCTAATCCATAAACAAAGATACTTTTAGTTGCAGGGATGTGGGGGTTTATATTTATGCACACACACTGAAGCAATCACACAGTTAGAAGCACGGCCTTGAAGCTCTCATAAGCCCCAGCATGACAAACAGTGAAAGCTGTAACAAGTATCTACCCTTGCTATGAGACAGTCATCCACCACACATTCTCAACTTCTCTTTTCTAACTCAGACCAGGCACTGGTATGCTCTCAAGTATTCAAAAAACCTCAATGATAAATCCTGGAGAAAAGCTTTCCCTAAAGAATTCCTACAGCCAGTAGCCACTGACTATTGAAGAATAATTTACAGGCAGACAAACTGCTGGAGAGGCAAGGGTATGCTTGACAGCTTCCCAATTTGCAGAGACCTACTGTATCTATGCAGTACTGTATGACAGAGAAGGGATAAATCACTTCAGACTCATTATAGCACAGTTGCCATATGTTGGTTGGTGACACACCAGGGAATGATGACAGCTGTCTGTTGTATAGTCAGAAGCAGGACAATAAGATATGAAGAACATTATAAAGACCAGAGACATCAAGGCATTGACTTTTTTTTTCTTTCTGCAGTGAGGGGGAATGAACCAGGTTAGGTCCTTTAATGTAAGAAAAGACAGACCAAGGGGACTTCAACACTTAGAACACATCAGTTTCTCTAAAAACAGCCTGGCACCTGATAGCACATGAGGTACGGTTTCACGTGACAGAGTAAACTATTGATGCGAAAAGATGCTGCGGTTAACGGATTTGAGAAGACAAACACAGCAGTCAAAACCAAACTCCTTACATTGGAGGAAGGTCATTACAACAGATGCTGAAAGGGGGGACATCCAGTGGAGGGGAGCAAATTCCCTCATGTGACTTCCATGATGGATGTGGAGAACTAACAGCACCCTGAGTCTTCACTGATCTTAGAGGTTTATGGTATAAAGTAGACAGGGACAAATGCAACGAGGAGTACTTCTGGAGGAATGGCATGGACCTTAGCCTGCTTGTACGTGAGGAGAACAAATCAGCAGGAGTTTGGTAACATCTGAAGTAAGATAGGGCACTGGCTTAAAGGCCCATGGACAGGTCAGTAATAAAGATTCAAGAGCATCATCGGTGGCCAAAACAAATGAGAAAAGTTTTCAAGAAGTTACCTTTTCTGTAGCCAGCTTTTGAAAAACTCTGTCATCTTAGATACCTTAAAAAGATGTACTGTTTTTATAAATAGTTCTGATGGGGACAGTAAAAGAAAACTGCAAAAACCTCAAGTTGTGGCCACATACACATAATGAAAAAGAATAGAAACATGAGAAATTTACCGTAATCATTGGCACAATGTAACGCCAGTTTTTATTCAGGCTTCCAATGTGGCTCATCTCCTCTTCTGTGAGGCTGAAATCAAACACCTAAGAACAAAAGCAAGAGGCTTTCTTCAATAACCATAGGTTTTTCATATCTAATTGATGTTGAGTTTTGCCTCTTGGTTTTGTTTCCTTTGTAAGTCCCAACCATCCCCTTGTGCCAGGAATTTCTCCAGAGATCCACAAGCAATAGAGCTGACAAAGGCAAAAAGGTTCCACTTCACAATAATCCAGGACAGAATGAAACAGCAGCAATGACCTGAGACATTGCTGACTATTTCAGTGTTTAACTTCAGATGACAGTGCAACAACACAGTTGTAACTGAGACAAATACACATGCGCACACACACACACAAAAGACTGGAATAATTTATTCAGCTATAGTTACATAATATTTCTTTTGCACTTGCAAAAAGAAAACCTACATGCTGTATTAGAGTTGCATGATCCTAGTGTTAAAACCAATGTAAATTAAACATAATGCAACTTGTAATATTTCGAACATCTTCAGAAGCTGTAACTTTGGTAAGTTTGAGCCTCAAATAGAGAGAATTTCATGCAACTCTGATCAATAGAACTTACGTATCTGTAAAAATCTTGGCTTCAGACAGCATTAGTTTGTCTTCTGTTTATAAAGTTGCAATTAAACTTATTTTACAACAAACACCAAAACAAAAGCTTAAAGCCTGAGGTGTTCCTATGCTTGCCAACTCTAAGCTTACACTGATACTGCATAGCACTCTTCCACAAAGAGAAAAAGCAGCAGGACTGTTCCTCCAAGTGCGTGCTGCCTATTCAATCAAATATTCTGTCCCCATGCAGATCTAAACCTTGATTAACTGCAGAGTTTACTGGAGTTTCTTGACATTTCTAACAGCATACTACATGGCAGAACTCAGTTTCATGGGAATAAGTTCCAGAAACAAGTCCTAACTTAAAAACATGCAACTGCCCCATCTGTATAATTAAGGGCTGAAAAAAGATCATGAGGGTGATTCAGAGGCTTCCCTCCAAAGTATTGGAAGTTAGAGTTTTCAAATAATTTCTAAAGTGAACTTCAGAGCACAAGTGAATCACAGTAATTCAATTCCTTCAGCATCATTAGAATGACAGCTTGCTGCAGAAACAGTCACCAGCCCTTACTTGCAGGGTAGAGCAATTGTTATTCATAAACAAGAACTATTGAACATCATTAGAAGACTCCCTTGTTCAACAAATTTGAATCTCACAAATTTCAGTAACAATTTTTCATTTAACTTCTACAAAGTACATTCTTTACCTTTTGATAACAAGACTATGCATGTGCACATATGCACACACACACATTTAGTTGTTTAAAACATATTGTTTGTTTTCCAAAAATCTTTACCCTCCCTTCTAAGCGTGTGCATACATTGATGAACAAGTATGAACGAAGTGCCTCAGCCTGTTCTGGAAGCAGTAGGACAGTATATTACTCACATAAAGGGCATCGCTGAAACTCCTTTCTTCCATTTAAACTTACCTGGAGATTCTGCTGAATGCGAGCTGGAGTGACGCTCTTGGGAATGGCAGCCACTTTACGCTGCACTTGCCACCTGTTAAGAGGAGGAGAGAGATTTTCTGTGTGTGCAGCCAAAGAACCATGATATTTATTTTGGTTGAATAATAACCTGTGACATCAGAGATGCCACTTATGTTTCTATGTGAAATAAAACTACCCAGAAGAGGGCTGACATAGCACTGTGTTGTATTAGGACATAGTATGTCCAAGCTCAAGCAAGGCAATAGCCACCGGACTACCAATGAGGGGAAGATGTTCATGCGTTTGAACAAGCAAGCAGGTTTCAGGTGCTTTAAGCTAGAAACCCAAGAAACAGTCAGAAAAAATGTTTTTAAGCATTTTATGCAAGTTCTAACATGACAACCACTGAGAAACTAGAAGAAAATCCAGATCCCACAAGTGTCTGTCTAGTGACTTGAGCACAAAATCTTGAACATATTCAGCTAGTGACTTGCTGCTGCCCAAGACCATGCTAGTGATATTGATAGATACAAAGCCAGACAAAAAATGAGGATAGAAATCCAATTTTACTTTACAAGGTGCTGATCACATTCTGGACATCATTCAATCATCTTGTTTCCCAGTATCCACTAGCTGGCTTTTGCTATATAAAAAACAAAACAGCAAAGGGCTCTTCAGTGCAAAGAAGGAAGGTCCCTTCCTCAGCCCCTCTTCCTGGGAACCTATTTGATTGCAGTAGCTCAAGTGTTCAAGCAACTGGCCAAGTGCAAATTCAGCAGGCAGCACTCAAATGTGGTACACTGCTGCCTTAATTGTCCTACTGCTAATTCACAGCAGAAAAGGCAGTGAACTGTCCCAGGTATGGATCCAGACCCTGAATGGACCCCTCTGATCTAGTCCATTCACCCGCCCTAAGGTAAAACAAGGGCCAAATGGGGTTTTCCATTGGCACTCCCTGTGATTTTAACTCCCCACCGATGGGGAAGAACACACACTTTAAGTAGATTCCTTCTAGCTTGTGTGTTTTGCTTTATTTAAGGCCAAGTCCCAAATGCCACCCTCTCTCAGTTGTTCTGTACCTGAGGATGATCTGTGCAGGTGACCTGCTATATTTTTCTGCCAGTTTTTTGATCCCAGGTTCTTCTAGAAGCACAGGCTCATCTGGGTGTTTCCATATGCGATCTGGAGAACCGAGGGGACTGTATGCAGTGACAACCAGTCCTTGTCTCTGGCAGTGAGCTATCAGCTCATTCTGAGCTAGGTAAGGATGGCATTCTACCTATTAAAATGACCCACAATGAGTGGCTAGAGAACAGATATCAACACATCTCTAAACAAACAGAAAGTCAAAAGCACAGCAGAACCAAAACACATCACAGGAGGTCATTCCAGACTCTGCAAAACCTTAGGAGGAAAGGTTTTATTAAAAGAATGAAAACATGTCTGGTAGGCTAAGGTTACAGGAAAAGGAGAATAGGTTGCCTAAGTTTAGAGTGTGGGTTTTCCCCCTGTACCAAACAGATCATCCAACAAGCAAAAAAGCTCTCTACAGAACGGATTCAAGCTACTCCCCCAGTCTTTCTTTCTTATAGACTAAATTGTTCCTCACAGGGAAGATGAGCTCTTCCACAGACCTGTTCAACTAAGCAGGCATAAATGGCCACAGAACATGTATATAGGCTTCCTCCCCAACAAATTAATCTGCCTGGAAAGACAACCTCTGCATGCCTACTCCTACAGAGCTGGCTATATTCTTCCCCGTACATAAGAAGCTATGTCCCCTCATGCTAAACACATAGCATTGGATTGCAAATTCTTCACTGTTATGGACATATAGGAAAGCTATTCATCCTTGCCTTTATTCACCTTACCTGGAGCACAGCTGGTTTGACAGTAGCCACACTCAGTACATCATCAATCTGACAACTGTTGAAGTTTGATAGCCCAATGGCTTTCACAAGACCTTTTTCTACCAGCTCCTCCATAGCCTTCCAGGTATCCTTGTAATCAGTGTAATCATAACGCATCGTGTTATCAGGATTCTTTGGGAAGAGATCATCTCCTCGTCTATAGCATTAAAAGTAAAGTGTAAGTACATATACCACATTATTTACATTACATTAGTTCTTCACTAAAAGAAACTTTTGTCAAAGTATTCTCAAAAGCTTATACATAGTTTGGAGGACAGTACAAATTGAGCGAATTTGTCTGTTGAATGCCAGTATACTGACTTAAACTATAAAAAAATTATTTCACACACAGTCTTTCCTATGTAAACTTGTTATACAGTACTTTGAACTACTTATCTATACCGTAATGACTACACAAAACAGATAAGCCACTGGAGAGTGAATGGTTCCCAATAAAACCATGAAACTGCTTTATTAGAATGTCAGTTGTGTCAACGGTTTCCACAACATCAAGTAAATTTCAATATTAGTAATATCTAAACATAGATCATTATTTGTGTTATGGTCAAAGCAATGTTTAATTCTTTTTTTTTTCCCAATCAATTGGAAAACAAACTTATTTCACAACAGGGGGAATTTTTAACAGAAGTTCTTCCTCCAAACCAGCTCTAGTTGAAAACACTTCCTCATTCTGTTATGCTGAGGGATATATGCATAATTTGAGCATCTTGCCTCCTATCTTTAGTGTTGTATGCTTGTAAAATTCAGTTCATATGACTAGAAGGGGAAAAAATGTTCTCAAATTTGCAGAACAGACAGAAGCCCCTCAACCTGACAGGGTTTCCCCTGTTGAGTGAAGTCTCCATGCAAACATCTGGTCAGGAGATCTATTCTTCCCCTGCCTTTTTACTGGTTGTATGGGGAAAAAATTGCTTCCACATCTGCAAGAAAATAAAGCAAGGAGCTCTGCTTCTGATGGGGTTGTAGGATAAGCACATTTAGCACTTAATTGGAGAACTTTTCTCATATTTCCTCAAGTCGTAGAATTTCTGCCATTAAAGTGTCATAAGAAGTCATTTTCATTTCCTCCTCATACAGATACCACCATGATACTGCATGTGCTTCACCACACCAGTACAGTTAATAACTATTAGTGAAATGTGTTGTCTTCTTCACAAAGCACTTAATTCTCATTTTACAGATAAGTAAAACTAAGGCACAAAGCAGTTTCAGTATTTCCATGTAGGTCAATAGCAGAATGAAAAATAGCTGCCACATTTCCCCAGTGCCTAGAAGACACTAGACTAATTTAAACTTCTAATATATTTTAATCTCAACAAAGATTTTACCTCACAGCAAGCAAAATTTTCATCTAGTGTAAGACAGCAAGCTTCAGTATAGAAACCTGTCCCATAAAGCTTTATTACTTTTTCTCAGTTAGACTACCTCCTCTACTGTATGTTTACAGACGTGCTACAAGTCTAACAGCAAACAAATTCCCACCCAACTGAAATTCAAAAAAGAATGAAATTTGAACAATCATTTCAGTGAATGAATGGACCAAATATGAGTAAGTGTAAAGGTTATGGGTAGAAAAGAGTGTCTATATGACAGTCCATAGGACTACACTGTTAGCCACACTGAAAAACGTCTTGCAGGCAGTATACACAGGAAGAAATTCACAGCTCAGAAAAGGTCCTCAGGATATAACACCAGCCACTTATGTAAAACTAGGGTGTCTGCATTCTATGCCCTTTCCAGGTAGAACTTACTCAAAGGCATGAGGCCAGTGCATGAGGTACAGATCCAGGTAATCCAGTTTCAAATCTCCAAGTGTTTTCCTTAGCGCTGGTTCTACATCTTCTGGGTGGTGCTTGGTATTCCAGAGCTTTGATGTTACAAACAGGTCCTCCCTTTTAATAACCTTTAGGAAAAGGAGGAGAGCATAATTTGCTGGAACAAGTTCAGAAAGAGAATTGCAGCAATTCCCCAACTAGCTTTAAAACAAAAAGAACAATTTAAGTTTTAAAAAAGGTAACACATGGAACCTACAAATTAAACATTTAAAAAATATACTGGATGGAGAAAAGCGAGAGAATAACACATTGGCAAGTCCTAAAGTATACCAAATACTTAGCAATGTATCAGAAGTTTTGAAAAATAAAACAAACCTCTCCACACTTTTCCAAATTTTCCAATTCAAGGGTTAAAGCCACTAAGTGCAATGTGGCCAAAAGAAAGATTACTTAAGTTTATTCATATGTAAATTTTGTAATTTCTATTTAACAATTCACATATTCTAGGCACAACCAGCTAACTCACTATACTCATCACATGTTATAAACCAAGAATGCTTCTCAGGGAAAGAACATGGGAAAATAAACAGAAGAAGTTTCCCTAAACCTCTGTATTTGAGTTTCTAGGTTCTGGAAAGAACACACTAAAAACTGAGCACCCTGTACCCTGTATTGGAAGGATAAGACCCAGAAATTAAACAACTAGAGTGTTGGCTAACTAGAAAGTATAAAATGCAAAAGGGAGATCGTATTTGGCAAGCTGAAACACAGAACACCATCAGAGGGCACTTCTCACTGACTTAAGCGTGACCAAATTTCACTCAAGTCTATACTTTGTAGAAGCTGGAATGATTAATTCCTTAGTTTCTCTCCTCCAACCATTCAGTTATTTCTGTGTTTCACATATGGCAGTTGTGTTCAAAGAGAAAGATGTGTTAGAAATTCTAGTTTTAATTTAGCTAGCTAACACAAACTGAAAAAGACTCCTATGCTTCCCTATATTAGTCACCATATCTAGTAGGAAGGAATCCCTGGAGCAAGCTGAAAACAGCCTCTCTCAGGCTAATCACATAACAAAGAGATTGCCCTAAAGCCAAGGCAAGAGCAGCAGGAAAGCAGGAACTTAAGAACTTTCTTTCCAGGGGCTCTGAGGCTGTACAGATAATCAGCCCCTCAAGCCAACAAGAGCAAGGGGGATGAATTTAAGATTCTACCTGAGGTCATCCATAGGAATGCCTGTCACATTACTTTATATTTAGGCCATGGACTCTCACTGCAGGCCCTAGAGTCACAATTACCAAACCTTCAAGTGCAATCACTCTTGGTTTTGGTTTTGTTTTCTGAAGTACGTATTTACTCAGTCCTGTTTGATCTATAGCAAAAAAACCCCACAGCCACCGAATCTGCTGTAGCTACCTACCACTGCATGCTACTCTAGGCTGGCAAACTAGAATAACTTTTCATAGAAATCATGGCAAATATTTTCCATTATAACTAATGATTCTGGGAACCTCCAATTTTTGGACACACAAATTGGGACACTTGGGGCAGGGGGAATAAAACCAGGCATTTTCTGTGGCTTCTATGCAAATATTCCTGACAATCTTTTCTCCTCCTGACAGCCAGGATGGTTCCTGAGGAGAGAAAGCCATCTTTCATGCCTACTTCTAATTAGCAAAAAAATAGCTGGGATAGACTAGGAGGAAAAGCCACAAATGTTAACTTTACAGTCTAGTTTCAGGTCACAGCTGTAATTCTGATACCACATATAGCGAGCATGATGGTTCTTGTGTTTTTACCTTGTTG